GTTTCCTCAACTGGCGTGACCCAACGAACTTGCCACCGTACGAGGAGCGTTGCCGTCTCCTGGGAATCGAGCCATTAGAGGTGAGACGGACGGTCGCTCAAGCTATGTTCGCTGGAAAGCTGCTTACAGGTGACATTGACTGCCCAACACTGCTGTCACAGCTAAATATGTATGCCCCTGAGAGGTCTCTTCGTCAACGCGACTTTCTGTTTTTGGAACCACGGAGCCGGAATTATACACAACACGAGCCAATTCGAGCAATCAGCCGGCAATTCAACAACTTTTTTTATATGCTCGACTTCAATGTATCAGCTGACGTGTTTCGTCATCGGCTACTTAGCCTTTTCCGTACCGTTGACCGTAACTATTTAGTTTATGTTTTATTCATTTAGACAGTAATTGTCAGTTGAATTTTTCAATAAACAATAACAACAATAACAATCAAATTTCTGACCAAAGCAGACTACTGACATTTAGCTAAGCCATGAACCCGCATGCAAAAGTTATGAATTGGTTCGTGTCTCTTCTATTCTGGACAAATTATTTTTATCTAGATCAAAAATCCTATGGTTTTGACAGTTCACTGTCACTGCACATTTAAATCGGCCGTTTACGATTTTCGAGCAGAAATCAGAATTAAATGTCATGTCGGTTTGTCGGTGGTTGAATGCCCATGGCAAAATCCAAACAGCTCAACTGCAAATTTGAGATCATATTGATGATAATCATCATTCTATTCAAAATCATCTAGTCTAGTCTAGTCTAGTCTACACATACACAGCCAGTACTTGAAAGAATCCTGGAAAATGATACATCTATCATTTTTCTTGTCATTATTAATGCCTGCTGCACATCAAGGATGTGAAACAAACAATAAAGCGGCCAGGCCTACTGTGTAGCGTTTAGTTAATTTTTGTGGAATTGAATGTTTACGATGTCTACTTAATAAGTATAGACAGTGGTTAACATTTAATCCACAGGTAATCAAAGAGCGGGGACATACCGTACCAACCGCTCCGTATGCAAGATTTGAAAATAGGCTATATAAATCGTTGGGAGTGACAGAGCTAAGAAAGTTAATGTACACTCCTTGGTTGTCCGATCTCCTGGGATGGAACACAGGTATTTACCCCTTGTGTTCGAGCGTACAGTCCTCCCTCCGTACAAGCGTGGACGGCACCGCCCACCCACTGCCATCCCTCAATCGATCCAGCCGACCTGAGTCGAAGGACAACAGAGAGCGGTGTGCGGACGTAACCTATACGGAGGGAATGCTGTATTCGCCTAGGTTATAGCGCCTTTGCTCGCTATTCGTTATTCGCTGTCTACAATGAGAAGAAACAATGCATGAAATTTATAGTGAGTAATTTTAATGAATATATATATATATATATATATATATTGACTTAAATTGATATATATATATATATATATATTAGCCGTCTCGATTGAATGCGCATGTTTAAACAACGTTGATCCAGGTACCTATCATATAAATTTGCATATAATCTAGTTATGATTATTGTCAATAATACTTACATTTCGATAAAGATGATGCTGCCTACTTTACCTGTTATGTGATACTTATCATCACAGAGTCCAACCTTGAATCGCAGACCAGGTCTACTAACAAAACATGGGGTTTATGGTCTTCTTCTTCTTCTTCAGGTTCGCTCACCACCCGGAATGAAGGCTCGGTGCGGTTAGTAATATCAAACAGTGTTACATGCAAACGAAAAAACGAAAAAGAGATGCAACCAGGATTAGTTTTTTAAAGTAATAGTTTCATCTGAATACCCAACTAACCATATCTCAGTGACATTGTACCACTCTGAACCCACACCTAAAGCTATTTTGTGATTATATGGTTACTTTGGTATTCACATGAAATGTCGTGCAAGTACCAGAGGTTCAACAACGCCCAACTATGGACAGCTCAATGTTAATACCATAGAGGTAACTCTAAGACCACTGGGTCCCGAAGAAAATCATTATTATTTTTGGCTCACTCAGTACCAGAACAACGGTCCCAAGCAGTCCCAAGCTATTTCACTCACCCCTGCATGTTCTGCATGAATCCACACACCCCTGATGTTATCTGTCAAACTTTCATAGCGAATCAAAACAAACATAGTGTAGTAATAGAATTTCAACTAGAATAGGGTACGTTAATCGTTTGCTTGGGACCAATAGGCTACTAAAGTGGTGAGCCAATTTAAAATCGTTAGTTTCGTATTGATTGTTGTTAATACCATTTACTCTTTGAATCAGCTTACACCAACATGATAATCTATTATTATTTAGCTTTATTAAGGAGGCTTTCAGCCTTGGGCTGGTTCGCCTCCAATAACATGATAATCTACTAAGAAACATCTAAGAATGTATAGAGATAAAGTTCAAAAATACAGTTTTAACTGATGGTACTTTATAAACGTCAAACTGTTCAATATTGGACCCTGCCAACACACGGCAATGTGGGCCGTCAGAATGGTTCATCGGTTGCGAAGTGAAGTGCTTCTTAAACTGAAGCGATACATTTCTCAATGTTTCAACGTTATCCTAACGTAAACTTAATATTATCACCCATATGCCTGTCCACGCCCGAAACCCATCCACCACACAAAATCAAATAAAAATGTTTCTGTATGGCAAACACGTCCAGACATAAACGAGAATATGGGTGTATATCTTCACTGTAACAACTACGGGTAATCATCGAAAATACTTGCATTTTACTCAGGCACTTTTGAGCAAACTGCAATCACTCTCTCATACTCGTAATGTGCCACGACCAAATTGGCACAACGACGCCCTATACGCTCTCTGACCAAAGCGCAGGGTCATCATTCTATTCAAAATCATCTTTCCAAAAAGTTTACTTATTGATGAATGCAAACTTATTGGTAACTAGAAGCTTCAGCTGGCTTTTTTTTCCGGCTGAATTGAATCACCGAAAAACCAACATGAAACTTAAACTTCATTTTTGCTTGAAAATCTATAACGGCCGATTAAAATGTGCAGGGATCCTATCTGTCAAAACCAGATAAATTATTTATCTAAAAATAACATGCCCAGAATAGATCAGACACGAACCAACTCATAATTTTTACACGTTTGTTCGTGGCTTAGATGAACGTTTCCCGAGAACACGGAGAAAGATGTCAGTTGTACCATAGAGGTCATTCATGTAAGTTTGTCGTTGGTTGAATGCCCATGGCGAAATCCAAACAGCTCATCTGCAAATTTTGAGTTCACATGGATGTTAATCATCATTCTATTCAAAATCAAAAAGTTTACTTATTGAAAGCAAACTTATTGGACGGTAGCTAGAAGCTTCAGCTGGCTTTTATCCGGCTTCAAAATTGGAGCAACTTTTGCTTTTTTCGATTTATCAGGAACATCCTAATCTCAATTCTAGATGCTCAAAAAATTTCACACAAGCGAATAAATCAGCGTGCGCGCAGCTAGCCACAGCAAAACACAATCTTTCCTGCATCGTAGATAGAGTTGTCACCGACAAGCCGACATAAATGATCATAACAATTACAAAGAAATTTCTGATCAAAGCACAAAACTGACATCTGCAGCCGTGTTCGCGGAAAATATTTATCCTAGCCACGAACACGCGTATAAAATTTATGAGTTGGTTCGTGACTAATCTATTTTTCGGACAAATTATTTTAATCTACATAAAACATTTCTATGGTTTTGGCAGATGGGATCGCTGCACATTTAAATCGGCCGTTATGGATTCTAGATCGAGAGTTAAGTTGATGTTTCATGTCAGTTTGTCGATGGAGTCGTCCCCCTAAAGAAAATATACCAAATAGAAACATCTGTTAAATAATTTCACCAAGACAAGCTATCCTGTGGACATTTTTTGATGAGAATATAGAAAATTCCATCATCACCGAGAGCTATCATATTTTGAAACTTTTTAGTTACCTACACTGCCGATACTCGCATAATTGTCCCATCTTTGCTTGATTTCATAGATCTTACATCGTCCAGGAATAAAAAAAAATCCCGAGCAAGCTGATTCCCAGATATTTATTCAGATAATCCCGAGCAAGCTGATTCTCCATAGGACGGACTAGTAAGACCTAAACTGAAAGAAATTATGGGAACTCTCGAACTGCATAGCGAAAGCTGAGCTTTTTCCGAATTTGTGATCAAACTTTAACCGCCTTCTTTATGCGCTGGAATTCTAAGTTCTAAATATTATTTTCAAAAGTTTTGTTCCTCAGGGCAGATAATCACTTTTTAATTAGTTTTTGCAAATCCCGCCAGATAATTTTCATTACAGGATTGCGTTTTCTTTGATACTGCTGCCTACGGGCATTTTTCGAACGGATCATGAGCTGAAGATCGTCGTCTATTATAATTGAATCGAATTAACCTCGCATTTTTGGGACTGAGGCAGCTCTTGCTTTAACTATAGAAAGTAGTCAGAGATTCAAGAGCGTAATCAACATCATCTCGAGGGACACGCAATGCAAATAACCGGTACGTTGAATAAGTTTTGAAGTAGTACTGACTGTAATTAAAATTAACTATCCGTACTGAATGTAATTAAAAGTATTGAAAATCTAATTAATGTACTTTCTAAAAACTATATACAAGTACTCATCGTTGAGTCCCTGCATTTAAAAAAAAAATGTATCTATACCCTTAATAAGTAGAAGTGATTTTTTCTCTCTGAGTTATTCTTAATGGCCGTGCAGAATGTTCATTGAATTCACTTCAGATACCCTTTTGAATTTCACTACTCTTGAAATTCTACTCACATTGAAAGTCTTCTAAGAATTCAATTTCATTTCTCCTCACAACCCTCAACCAAAATTCCAAAAAATTCTAACCCTCTATGTATACTCCAAAAATTTCGAAGGACTTATGCTCGTTTTATCCTCAGAAATTTCTGACCCCCTCCTACTGACAAAACAACCGTAGCAGTTCAAAGGAACTTTCTTTCCGGTGGAAGAACATACAGAATACATGCTTTGCGGTGGATAAATCCACATAATTCACATAGATCTCCTTACATCCTACTTGGGCAGTCGCTTGACTAGTTTCATTTCATGCGTCAACCAGATGGCGAACGACAACAGCAGAAGCGATCCCGATTGGTGGCTTGCGGCCAACGGAACAGGAACGTACGTAAGTAGCGTAGTAATACCGAGCATTACCTGGAGCCAACCCATCGCGGCTACCGCTGTGGCAGCCTTATACGCCCTCGGTGGCAGAACTCGACGTCTCGAAAGCATAAACATTCCGGTAATCAGCGTCAGAGTGGCTGTTCCCAGCACTCGATGGTCAAACTGAACCGTTGTGGGATTTTCGGTAAAGTTACGCAACGTCGGTGACATGGCAAGAATATCGCTGGGAATCCACCGGTCTGCCATTTTTGGGAATGAGTTGTATACCAGACCAGCATCCAGGCCGGCCACAAGAGCTCCGGACATGGCTGTTACGAATACTGCTGCTTTGGTGGCGTGTGCCAGACCTTTGAACTTAAGCGTAGCGGCCGAAATTTGACCCAGCAGCTTCTGAGCTGGTAGCAATTTGTCCAAGGCCGACCACAGGAATAGAGAGTAGAGAACAAATGCAAATCCAAGATGGGAAGCCAGGCGGTACTGGGAAACACGTGGTACATCGCTTTCCTCGTGGAAACGATCTTCCAGGCCGGACTTGACCATGTACCATCCCATCAAACCTTGAGCAGCTATGAGAGCACCAAATGCAAGGGTACGAATTTTCATACCACGATCCAGATATCCCCTAGACCAAAAGTATGCAGCTGGAATGGCATAGAACGCTCCTATTAGGCGTCCCCACATGCGGTGACCGTATTCCATGAACCAGATCATTTTGAATTCACTTAGGGTTATGTCCTTGTTTTTACTAAAAAAAAGAAGAGGAAAATGGTTCAAATTGATCACATCTTTTAAATTGCCGCTACTTACAGCTTGAATTCCGGAAACTGCTGATACCTTTCGAATTCCTCCGCCCACTCCTGCTGTGTTCGTGGCATCTTTTCTCCCAACAACTTCCATGTAACCATCGATAGCCCGGACTCTGTTAGACGCGTCACTCCACCTTGGGTCGGAGAAATAACAAATCGTGATTAGTTCAAAGCTATACAATCATATTTATTTAGCAGTCCGATAAACTATTTCTGCCATCACAATACAGACACAATATACCACGAATCCATAGCAAGCTATCCCACCTAAAACCACAGCCACAAAGACCATCCCACTGCATCCGAGCAGCCAGTAGCCGACGGCTTTTCTTCCCTTTTCGGTCACCTCCGGTTTTGTGCAGTATCGCGCAAGCGATGTCTGGACAATGCGACTGGGTGTTGTGATGTTTACCTGAAATTCAAAGCTAAAAATTAGTTTAAATTAGAATCGCAATATGATGGCACTTACCTTTTTAACATTCCGAAGAATACTGGAACCTCGTCCAACCGAACTGCCGGTCATGAGAGAACGACATGGGGTTAGATTTTTCCACACGAAACCTGAAGAATTTGCGGTTCCCCGCACCAGAGGGGAAGCCAAACGGAGGTAGCTCAGCATGGTGGCATACGCTTTGGGAACGCAACTACACTTTTAACAACTAATAATTGCTTTTGTTACTATGAACAGAACATCCGCTACTCCGTAAAAGGGTGCGATCAGAATTTGCACAGCAATAAAATTTTGTAATTTCGTAAAACTCTCAACCCTCCCAAGTGATTGCGAAATAGGATTTTTGTTTTGACGTTTCTCGTGCTCGGCCCATGCCCTTGTCCGGCGTTGCTGGTGCTCGCATTATGTTTGTGTTTACAATTTTTATGCTCTGCACGCTCGTTCGAGAATACTCTGAATTTAGTGGAAATACACTCAATTTCATTTAAACTGGATCTACCCCGATGTCAATTATACAAGGTCTGGCCCAACCTCGGGCCCAACCGGCTTATTGGTATTAGTGAAATGTGAAAATGTCTAGTGGCGGTCGTATTTCATCGGAATGTTTATCTTTTTACACGAAACAGCTGTTTTCTGTGCCGACACGTCTGCTATTCGCAGTATGGAATGTTGTGCTGCCGTGACATCGGCATTTGCTTGCTCAGCAATGTTTACAACATTTTTGCTTCTAACACCAGCAAGCTACTTGTTGTTCCAGACCTTGTATGATTTACATCGGATCTACCCCAATTTGAGTAACTAAGTCAGAACTCAATTTTCAGGCATATATTTTTATTTCGCTGGAAACCAGCAAAACTTTGCTGGATTTTGCCGAGCTGGAAATCCAGCAATCCTTCCAGCAAAAAAATATTGCTGGATAACCAGCATAATAATGTGACATAAAAATGATAGCACTTTACTGTAGAACCAGCAAAATTTGCTGGTTGTTCAGTAATACAGAAGAGAAATTTATTTTGCTGTATGATCAGCAAAATTAGTAAAGTATTATTTTGAGAAAAAATCAAAGATTTTATGTACCTAATTCAAACTTAATTTATTTCACATTTTAGCATCATAACTGTATTTCAAATTATGTAGCGATAAATTCAGCGAAAACGAAGAAATACTATCCAATACGATGAATTTAAACGCCGACCGCGACCATTATCCACTTCCTCCTGCAAATAAATAAAAAGTCACATTACTGATGCACTGTTATAACCACAAACTTCGTTTGTGGTTATAACGGATATTTGTATACAAATTTATACCTTTAATAATGATATAAAATCACATTAAATAGCAAAACACGTTGAAAACTAGCATAAAACAATCAAAATAAATCAACTTGCGATAAAGAATCCACCTATAGACACTTATAGCACAGAAAAACAGACATAACACATTGAATATTTCTCACTGTAAAACATGGTCGCTAAAACATTACCGCCATCTGTTGAGTACACTGTGGTGGGTAGTACGCTGAACAGATGGCGGTAGTGTGTAAACGTCAAACGCAAAGGAATTGTCTATGCGCGCCACAGGTGGCGGTACTACCAACTACGATACTTTTAAATTGACCGTTAAATGCTTGTTCGATCAACAACTTGCGAGTGTTATATCTGTTTGTCTGTGCTTATAGCATGGACCCAAAGTGTAAGGACAACAATCAATACGAAACTAACGATTTTAAATTGGCTCACTACTTGACTAGCCTATTGGTCCCAAGCAAATCGATTAACGTACCCCAATCTAGTGTAAATTCCAGTACTGTTTGTTTTGATTCGCTATGAAAGTTTGACATATGAAATGAGCGGTTCGTGGATTTTCTTATGTTTCGAGGGGTGCATCGATTAGCTTCGGACCGAAGATAGTACCAGAGCTGAGCCAAAAAGTTGAGCACGTTTCTTCGGGACCTTCTAGTCTTAGAGTTACCTCTATGGTAAGGACCTCCATCACGCGATTTTTTTTTGGTTCACCTAGTTGTTTTTTTAGTGTACCTGGTGCACCCGGTACTAGAGCAAAAGACAGCAATTTGTACCAGAACAGGTGTCAAAAGTGACACAGACAGCACAACCAACAATCAATACGAAACTAACGATTTTAAATTGGCTCACCACTTTAGTAGCCTATTGGTCCCAAGCAAACGATTAACGTACCCTATTCTAGTCGAAATTCTAGTACTACGCAATGTTTGTTTTGATTCGCTATGAAAGTTTGACAGATAAAATGAGGGGTTATTGGTTTTTCCTATGTTTCGAGGGGTGATTCGACAAGCTTGGGACCGAAGATAGTACCAGAGCGTTAGCGTTGTTATGATATACTTCGTAGATTGGATACTAACGACAGTCACGTCTCTTCTGAAATTCTCAGTTAGACTAATTTCAGGAATAATGCTGGGGAGTAAACATTGGTTCCAATCTAAACAAGAGTAACAGAAGCATGACTGTCGCTATTCCCGGCCACGCCCATCTTTACCATAACTAGGGATAGGGAAGGAAATGTTGATGTAGTACTTACTTAACGAGAGGCCACCGACTTAGCGACACCCTCATAAGTGCTACGGAGTTGGAGGGTTGGGTAGGGTATTCGGTTAGGATTCACCTCAAGTTGGCGATGCAACCAAAAATATGTATTGTTTATTTGTTGTTTATTTAATCTCTCGATAGCCGGCTATCGAAAGAACATATTAATTTTGTTTAGTGATAATGAATTTTAAGAGCTTGGGATTAAACCCATGATTTTCTACTCAGTAAGCAAAAACGATCCCTCCAGGGTCATCGAGCATCTCAGAACCATAACGCTTCGCGACAATACAGGGCTACGTTTTCGCTTGATATGCAAATAGTTTCCGAGGTTAATGTTCAATATCAAATATACAAATGATGGTGGCGATTTATTGTGCTGTGGAAGAGCTTGGGGTTAAATCCATGATTTTCTGCTCAGTAAGCAAAATCGATCCCTCCAGGGTAATCGAGCATCTCATAATCCACAGCGCTTCGCGTCAAAGTACGAATATATGGATGAACTATCTATTTTTGAATAACTATTATTTACGATGATTACATGAAAGAAATAAAATATAAACTACAAACAAAACGTGACTACTAAAATCTCAAAAAGATATTTTTACAAATATATTTCACGCAACCAGGAATTTTAAAACCATTAGACGCTATAATGATACTCTGCACAGGACCTGGGACCGCGTTGTTCTGCTCAATAAGCAAGCCACTGCAACCGACGATCTTTCAATTCCGAAAACAAAAGGCTACGAAAAAATATTTAGGCCTTCATTAAATTCCACTATCACGCGACGTTCAATGTTTCGATTTGCTCTTTACGCATTGTTCAGGCAATCATAACAAGTTATGATCGACGTTACGATTGTTTAAAGTAATATGAGTATTATTGTACAAATTACAGTAGATTGTAAAAGTTACCTCATTATTCTGCAGCGCCATCGGTTTTTATTTCTGGATCTTGAGTTGTTTTGGTGATATACTTACTTGCGGCATACTATTTTGGGCGCTCATATAGGCGTGTACTATGTAGGGTAGCTCATCTGCCACAAACGCTGAAAATATTATCGCGACCCCTCACACGATGATGATGGTGGCGACCGATGGCATGAAGGAAAATGGTAGCCATGCAGCAGGGTGTGCCTGTTTACGATTGTGTACTCACGGTTTTCGCGGATATTTTGGAAAGGTCCACGAAAAAAAAAAACTCCATTGCCCTATCTGTCAAGACGTTCAGTAGCACTCTGCGACAGTGTTTCATTCACAAGTACACCGTTCTGTTTACAAAATGGAATCACACACCCACACTACCGCGCGCGGCAAATCAGGTTCGAAAACCGTTTTTTTCTTTTGCTTGATGGTTCTTCTGTAGCGCCCGTTACACATGTCAATATATTGACAATAAATTGACATACTGACAATATTATTGAAAAGGTGATATTGATGATGATGATTGATGACAAGTATTGACGAAAAGCTGATTTTGAATTCACTTTGTCAATACTCAGAATATATTGACAAAAAACAGTCAATGTTGCTATCAATATCATCTTTTTGTGAATATTGACAACATTAATGGCAATACGTTTGAAGCCTTTTAACCTCAATGTATTAAAGTCAATATTACTTGTCTCAATTTCCCCTCACAAGAAACACGGATAAGCGAAATGAAGTGTGTTTCGCGTTAATGTTTGCACTCGGGTCAAAACAGAAACGTCGTTGCTGGACCTATAGAAAATACTAACTACACACTTAATTCAGATCACCGAAGTCGGTAGGAATTTACCGAGTTTTTGAACAGCAGAACAAGTCGGTAGAATTTTCAAATGACCGTTACACGTGAGAAATCAAGAAAATTTATAAATTTTATTTTTCATCAATAAATTGGGTGAACCGAACAAATTCTGTACAAGTTCAGAATAAATTTTCTAATAATTGGATTTTTCACTGATTTTTAAACTTTTACCGAACAGTTCTGTAGTTCAAAATTTACCGAACGATGGAGGCCTAGATTAGTGTGTACACACTGAATTCGTATCAACTAAGTCGGTAAAATTTCAAATTACCATTAGGGACTGTACGTAGACAGTTTTTTGGGATTCTTGACTCCCCCCTCCCCCTGTATAGACAATTGCCTAATTAAAAAAATTAAATTTGTATGGGCCGTGGATGATTGCCAACCCCCCATCCCCCTAATGTCTACGTAGTTTATGAACAGCCCTTGCTCGTAAGAAATCAATAAAATCGACACATTATCATTGAATGGTTTTAACTAGGTCCGTACAATTTCGTAATTTGTAAATTGTTAAATTTTTTACTGATAAACTTATACAGAAAAGTTTCCGTAGTTCTAAAATTACCGAACAGCGAAGGCCTGGTTTAGTGTGTACCTAAGAAAACCAACTGTCACCAAACCTTTGCTTATGCTTGTACATTTTAAATTATTTTTAGGATTTTTATAATAAGTAGTATTACATAATAACCTATTCTAGACCCATTCTAAAGTTTTCATTTTAATTTAAAGGAATGTTGTTTACGGAATGACTAAAGAACTAGGTGATACATTTATCATCCAATTTTAGTTTTGATATTACTTAACTCACCTTTTTCTTCAGAACAATATTGTTTACCTAATGTTAACCATACATATAATGCTTAGTTTTATCATAATTATACACTAGTTCTACCATGATGAAATCGTCTTATAATTTTTAGTAAATTTATATTATTGATTATCAATACTCAAACGTCAACAT